ACAATTTTTGTGGACTATTATTGGGGATTATCGCGAATTCGTTCGAATATATTCTAGATTATATCATAATAACACAGCAAGACGGTTGGTACATCAATATTTTCAAGACTATTGATACATACATACATACATACATACATACATACATACATACATACATACATACATACATACATGCATGCATGCATGCATGCATGCATGCATGCATGCATGCATGCATGCATGCATACATACATACATACATACATACATACATACATACATACATACATACATACATACATACATACATACATACATACATACATACATACATACATACATACATACATACATACACGTACACACATTTAAATTTGACATAGAAACACACCGCAAAATTGCAACTGCTTTTCCCGTTCTAAAATGTTTGTGTTTTTTGATTATTAGCTACAATGATGCAACCGTGCTGGTCTAGATACGTTCCGTAGACTTTGTAAGATGAGTTTGATTTACTCACCAAACGACCCAAATCTGACCGCTCCGCTACTTGAGAAATTTGTTTTACAGCCAACCAAATGACCTTATTAGTGTCATAAAGTTTGTTACTTTACAACTGCCTCCTCATTCTACTCGCAGCAATTTTCATAAAATTACCTAAGATTGCATTTAACCTCCCATATATCAGTGATAAGACTTTTGTTGGGTCCCTCTGAGTTCAATTCCTTATGCTAATTTTCGGTTGCAATTGATACTTTATGGTTCTCTGCAGTTAATTTTCGACTACTTTCGTTCATTTTCGCTCATATGTTTGAATTTTCTTATTAGACTTGATAAATTTTAGCTATGTATCATCGATGACTGTGGTTTGGGAACAAAAATGGTACTCTGTGACAAGGTGAATATACTATGCTATCAACTAGGATTGGGCTAGTCTGGTGACAAAGGTAATTTAATGTTAAAAACGTCCAATTGATTAACATTAAATAGCATACAAGGTCAAAGAGAAATTTGATTTCTACACTTTTATGCTGATAAGGGAGTATTTTAATTTCAAAATCGTACATAGCTGTATTTCGCTATCAATACTGATATTTCGTCAGGGAAGATATATACAATTAATCGTATCTCTCAATCTCTCTCTTTGTCTGTCTCTGTTTCTGTTTGTCTGTCTGTCAGTCTGCCTGTCTCTCTTGTGTTACATAGGTATATAATAGTAATTGAACCTGATACTTATTTCTATAATTTTAATTGTATTAAAGGCTAGCCGTGTAACTAATTAAATAGCAAAATCGTTTTTTTCCGGTATGGCTTTTTTTCGATACTGATGAACAAAAGCAAATGACCAGCAACTTATCTTTATTTTACGTATAAACAAAACCTTTCTTCTTCAGTTTTCATTTGAAGGCTTCTGTAAAGATCAATATAGTGGCCAAAGGTATTAGTGAATCTCCGTTCTTATATCAAGAATATGAAGTGCTGTCAGAAAGTCTTAGCTGGAGAATGAATAAAACAATTTCTTTTAAAATGTAAGTAGAAGATTACTTACATATCATGTTTTTCCTTTCACGTATTATGTTAGCTGAGTTGGTCGTGTTTAGGACTGAAAGACTTAGACCTAGCCTATACATAGTGAGGTAAGCTTATGGCATGTACTATTTGTATCTACGCGTTCATTTATGGCATTGTTATATTTTAGTGATCCTTTGATGATTATTGGGAATCAGTGTTAGGAAGATATTTCTCAGCACAAGTTAGAAGCCCATTTCTGTAAGCAGACATCATAATTTACAGTATTCACAAGACTATGAAAGCATAGTTTAATTTTGTAAAATAGTCCCTCCCTAATGTTTTAACATAAAGAATTTTTTTGGCTTCTTTAGGCATACATTTTTAGTAATTTGAGGTAAGAAAAACTCGTTGCATTGGACGTTTTAGTCGTAGTTGGTATTGCATGGCGTAGAGTACTAATATTCGGCTTAGAAATATTTACGAATGAGTCATGCAATATCTGAGACAAGAAAAAACATGCAAATGCGAAGTTATAATAGTTTCGTAATGTATGGTCGTTAGGTAGTTAGAATAAATTGTTTTTGTATTTGCTCTTTTAAGATCCTTTCGTTTCCAATGACTGTCATGTTGAAGTCCTTGATAATTGGGGTAACATGGGCTTGAGGCCAAGCTCACGCTTTGATTTGATCGGTATGCTACCCCATGTGTATAACAATAGTACTTAGAGCATCTAAAGGCACCAGAATAATGGCGGCTAAATTGTAAATGTGGTGTTTTAGATGATGTAATAAAACATGTGATCTTGAGATTGGTCAGTTCATTTAATATTAGAGAAGTGCATGATCTACAGAATATGTACAAAAAATGGCGAGTTTAATATATTTAAATCAAATACAAATTATTAAAATAAGTATCATCGTCAGTTCGCGTACTTATTTCAAGCAATCTGAGTCTGATATTTAGGTCCAATGAAACACACTCATGTGAGTAACCATGGATACAAATAATTCATACACGATATACTTGCAAGTCACAAGGCCGTTGTCAGGATTAGTTCGCATGTTAGGGTAGAAGGGTGCTTTCTAAAATAATTTGCTTCAGTTCTGGCTAAGATCTTCTTGTGACATGTTATTCATTTCAGTCGAATTTATCAAAACTTTGGAATGGAATATGGAATTTGAAAATGTATGTTAAATTCACAGGCAATGTCCTTACAATGGACCTACAAAATTTGATAAATGTAGGACTGGGATGATTATATGTATTATACATTTATTTATAGATTTAAAAGGCACACGTAAACGAATGAGACAATTTATATTGAAAACGAATTACTTTATTTAGAAATGCACACATCGTGTCAATCTGATTGCAAAGCAACTATTTCGTTTATATAAACAGTATTGCATCCAAGCAAAGTATTGTATTGCCTATTTTGAACATGTGATAAAATAATTTAATGTACTAACAATCACGGGAGTACGAAATCATTATGTCATACGTTAATTTTCTCAAATTTTTCATGATGAACCAGATGAATCCGTTCAGTTTTATTCTACTGATTTAGTTAATCTTGTTGTAAACATATTGTGTATTCGTATACAGCGCAACCAGTATCACAATAATCCAATGTATACATGTTGCACGTGTGTGTGTGTGCGAATGTGTATGCTATTTTTTTGTGGAACCTATCGATAACAATAATTTTGATACAATGTTTGTTTCGGAATAACCATAATAAATTTCTAAAAATGCTCCAGCATAACATCGCGTCAAAATATCATAGATCAGATAAGAATGTAAAACGTTTAGCATATTGTATGATTAAAAACCAAAGAATACAGCAAGCCTGATACATTCTTCCTTGTGTTTAAATAAGCATAACATGTCTTCCAGCGGTGCAATTATCCTTTTTTTCTCCCAAGAAAATAATAAAAGAGAATAAAACTTTGCATTAGTTTTTAAATAGGTTTCCTCAGTCATTTAAATGAGATCTCTCTGCCGGAAGCATATCTTTTGATGTTCTGCCGTAAGCATACTTCTTTAAGTTCTGCTGGAAGCATACCTGTTGATGTTATTATCACATCCTTGTATATGACTCGCGTGGAAATGGTAAAACTACTCTATTGGCATCTGAAATTAGTGTGTGTGTATGTGTGTGTGTGTGTGTGTGTGTGTGTGATTTAGATTTTAACGTAGTTTTAAAAACAAATTCAGTCATATCGCTACGATGACTGCAGTGTAACAGTTTATAGTGAACTAACACTGGGGCTAGATGTGTACCACGTCTTCGTGGATTTCAAGAAGGTATGACAGGATATGGCTTGCAGCCTTGTGGGCGACAATGAGACTGTACAACATCAATACCAACCTCATTACAGTAATAGAGCACTTCTATGAAAAGGCCACCAGTGCAGTATACTTCAACGGTAGCATAGGGGACTGGTTCAGAACAACAGTCGGAGTCAGACAAAGCTCTCTGCTCTCTCCCAAATTAACCAATATATTTTTGGAGAGAATCATACCTGACGCGCCTGAAAAGCATGAAGGGACAGGCAGCATCGGAGGCAGAGCAGTCACCAACTTACCTTTGCCGGAAGTTGATGGACTAGTAGGAAATGAGCATTAATAGATAGCCTCGACAAAACCTCTGAAGCCTACGGCATGGAAATCAGTGCAGAGAAGACCAAAATGATGACCAACAACACCAAGGGCATCAGTACTGATATCAGGGTCCATGGCACAAAGCTATAAACAGTCCAAAGCTTCAAGTATTTGGGGACAATTTTAACAGATTAAGGATCGAAGCCTGAAGTAATCTCCAGCATTGCTCAGACAACAGCAGCACTGATACAAACTGAAGCTCATCTGGAACGACAAGAAGATCGCACTCAGTTTTAATGGTCCGACTGATGCACACACTTGTTATCTCCATATTTTTCTACGCCTGTGAATCATGGACCATCACAGCTGACTTTGAGGAAAGGATACAGGCCACAGAGATGATATGCTTCCGAAAGATCATCGTCGTCTCATGCAATGAAGAAATACGGCAAAGGATCAGATAAAGGAATGGGCTTTAAGAAGGCTTCCTGTCCACAGTGAAAAACTTAAACTGCAGTGGTATGGACATGTCTCACGATCATCAGGACTTGTCAAGACAATTCTGCAATTCATTGCACAAGGAAGAATAAGGCAGAGAAAGAGGTGGGAAGAAAACATTCGGAAGTGGACAGACTTGACACTGAGCGACTCACTGAGAACGAAAGAAAATCGAGAGGAATGAAGGAATATTGTTGTCCGGTTTCATGCGGTGCCCCAACGGTCTACGGGACTAATGAAAATGAATGAAATGAATGAGCATTGGAGCATCATGCCGCAAATATGTGGCATGATGTCCCACCCAGTCACATTATCCTTACACCAAGCCGACCAGTCATAACACTATAACTCTTAATGCTGAGCGTCAAGCGAGCCAGCTGTTAATACCATTTTTAAAGTCTTTGGTATGACTCGGCCGGGTTCGAAACGGTGACCACTCGCATCTGAGGTGGACGCTCTAACCACTAGGCCACCGGATTTGTTTTGATCTGAAATCAGTTGACATGTACCTCATGAACTTGAAAGTTTAATTCAGGAACTTATTCTTACAATAGCTCTCCTTGGATGTTCATCGTTCATTCATGACATGTATTTTACCGATTTGCATTTAGATTTAAAAGCGTCGTTTGCCAACCATATCCCGTCATAGTCAATTTATCGTTTCAATTGAACTTGCTGATTGACCATTACCTCCTGTGATATCATAACAAAATAAAGAAAAATAAACACATTCTGACAGAGTTACATTCAAAGTGTTTCAGTGATCATTACATATCAACATTTTCCTCGCACAGATGTATAAATTTTGTCTGGAATAGACGTCAATTTTAATCTATGATTTGCCCTTTCAAAATTTTGAACGAGAAGGTTGTACATCACTGTCATATAATATAATGATTTTCATTCTGTTTCGGTAATAATTACATACCCTTACGAAGAAAAGAAGATCGCACATCGCTCATTTATTTTTCTTTAGAATATATATATATATATATATATATATATATATATATATATATATATATATATATATATATATATATATATATATATATATATATATATATATATATATATATATATATATATATATATATATATGTGTGTGTGTGTGTGTGTGTGTATTGATGTTTTCTTCATTAGGAAAAAATTAAACAATTACTCATCGTTAAATCATTCAATTGCACTTTACCAATTCAGCTAGTCGTAACCGTAAGGTCACATAGAAACAGTTTCAAAGGGACAAAGCTATGAAATATATTAATTAACTCTAATATAACTGATACAATCATACGGACTTTACACACCTTGTAAATTTGTGCAGCGACTTCACTTTCATGATGTCGGCAGTCAATCTAAGTTGAGATTGGTATCGAATATATTGCGTTTTGGCGACATTTGATATTATAAATTATGAAACACTCTTATAAATTACAATATATGTATTTTGGCTGAGTCACTACCAATTCAAAATACCTTCCAAACTGAGCATAATGAATAAGTAACAAAAAACACTATCCTGACTGTGCGATACATATTGTTCCAGTTTTGGTACACTTGATCCATCGACATGGAGTAGCAATACTTGAAAGTACAATCAGTTCCATAATGCATATGAAAAGCACTAGTATCAGTATTTGCACGAGCATACCGTTTAATCTTTGGAGTATCGCAGGACACTTAACCACGTTCGTAAAGGATCATAAATTACTGGCCATCCATTTCAATAAGAAATAATGATAAGCACGTCTATTTGTCAGGATATTGATTAAAGAAGGTTTGGGGTTGGATGTGAATGAGGGTGATGATGTCAGCTATAAGAATGTTACATTGTTATTTAATATGTTATCAGAGTTAACTAAAACGATCGATAAGTAACTGAACAGTGTAATAACTACTGGTGAATAGTAATTTCGTTTCGTCAATTACTGCATTTAGTCTAAATTTCGTAGATTTTGACTTTGACAAGAATTGGAACCCAGTTTTAGTGACTTGGACTTTTTATATCTCCTTTTTCACCAGATTAGTATGGATGTAAATTGTAATGTAGGAAGAGAGTAAATTAGGGACACAATATATCTATCTATCTATCTATCTATCTATCTATCTATCTATCTATCTATCTATCTATCTATCTATCTATCTATCTATCTATCTATCTATCTATCTCTCTCTCTCTCTCTCTCTCTCTCTCTCTCTCTCTCTCTATATATATATATATATATATATATATATATATATATATATATATATATATATATATATATATATATATATATATATATATATATATATATATATATGCAAAACAAAGAATCGGTTGATTATTGATAAGGTTTGTATATAAATATGGTTGTGGTGTAAAGGGCGTCAGCTTACAGTATACAAATACAATTTAAGTTAATTATGACCAAATTCTCTGAGAAATCCGCAAAAGTTTAATATATGCCTAGAAGTCCACCAAGAACTACAGTTCTGCAAGTGGAAAACAATCCCCATGAGGGTCATCCTAAATAACGAAAAGGGTAAAATATGCTCACAAGGTTTACATTACTGCCATTAAATAATCCGTGCCTGTTCTGTATCGAAATCAACAACATGCAAGAATCAGTCAGTTACGTATTGGAAAGTAGGCCTATTTGTCCATGAAATTTAATCAACTGAGCTGACAATCAATGGAGGCAAACTACTTTCTGGTTATAATTTGTGTTTATGCCTTTTATTATCTTTGATTTAAATGAACTCGATATGGGCAAGATGGATCTTCATGCTAAAATGTCATATTGTTGTACTGATTAAGAAGAAATATAATCTAATTATTTCCATGTTTCTGTCATAAGGGAACACGGCATACAAGATTATATATTATTATTGAATGGATTTGTGTTCAATTACATTTATTACGTAATGGAAGAAGTGCCTAGAGTACCGACAAACCATACATCCTTGTCAGCTCACAATCCTGATATATCTTGTTTGTTGAAATAACATTGGTCTTTTCAGGTAGAGTAGACTGACCACTTGAATATTAACAATTTTTTTACCTTTAAGGTTCAAAACTAGGATGCATTTTTTTCAGGCTTCATCTTTTTTGAGTAATAATGTAAGTAACAAAAGATGCGAAGCTATTAGGCACTCTTCAGAGGTCACGTTTCAAACTAATTTTTGATACCAAAATCTGGTCTTAAATCATTTTCAGAACAGAACTCAACTATAAGCTCAACGTGTGATTATTTTGAGGCTTTGATATTTCTTTACAATAAAGTTAGAAAAAAAGTACTTCTAGAATTTACCCATATCGTTTGATCCACTTGAATGACACATTTCACTGACGTACACATTTCTATAAATAGTTTTATATTTCATTTCGTAGTTATGATCTTGAGTTCGGGATGCATTCTCATACGTCTTCAGATTATTTATACCGGTAAGAGTAAAGTTATTTAGACGGATTGCTTTTGGGTGAAGGTCATTATTTGCTGCATGTTTACAAATCATAAAAAGGTGATGTTAAACTAGAAAAGATACAAAATATAGGCCTATATTTTCAAGTCTACTCTGAGATGCCGTACAAACAGATACTTAACATTATATTTGCATTTTATATGTTTATATATTTGAATACTTCTGTTATATATATATATATATATATATATATATATATATATATATATATATATATATATATATATATATTTATATATACTTATATATATATATAAATATATATATAGATATTTAGTTAGATTCATATATATATATATACATTTATATATATATATATATATATATATATATATATATATATATATTATACATACATACATACATACATACATACATACATACATACATACATACATACATACATACATACATACATACATACATACATACATACATACATACATACATCCACGTATGGTATATTTGAAGACTTATGTTAGATATAATCACGTATATGAACGATCAATTTGAAGACTTCATGAGTTATTGTACATATACTTATTATATATTTACAGTCTTTTATGAGATGTTATACATATATATTTTGGTTAGTCATCGAGTGCATGCTTTCGTTTTCAGCTCCAGTTTTTATAGGCAAACTATCAATTTGTATGTAATTGTTGAATAAGGAAATTTTAAATGAATTTGATAATTTACAAAAATATGCTTTTGTAATAAATTTTAGGTTATGTTTGTTATGCGATGATTTTTTTTTTAAAATTCCACATTTTGCAAATAGAGTTGACCCATTTCACGATTCCGCACCACAAACAAACACCGCATGATATAGTTCTATTACTGGAATTATGGTGAAGTGTTTAATAGATTCTCGTTATCGTGGACACTTTTGGGATTAGTCATGAATTTCAGAAAGCCAAGAATAGCAAACAGCGATTATGTGAAATTGCTCTTCTGTGTATCTCCGAAATGAAATCATGCCTTTCTTCCAAAGTAAATATTGATTTGATGGGATGCAAGCCAACATGGGTTCTTTTTGTTTACAGACGAGGAAAGGCATCCTCCATCAAAACTATAGATAAAAATACAATTTACTGTAGCGTAGATGCATGTATATATACCAAAGACTTGAAACACAAGGTACTAACAGCTGCCTCGCTATGGGCTAGGCATCAGAGAGATCATTATTAGGACTGGTCGGCCTAGTGGTAGAATAATGTAACTGGGTGTGACATCTTCCTACATATTTGCGGCAAGATGCTCCATTGCTAGTCATCAATATAAGCTGATATGACTCAACAATGTTAAAGCTAGTTAATAATCGAAATCACACACACATACACACAATCTTATATAATATTTCCTATTATAGGAACGAAAAATTATATCACTAATATTATGAGTATTAAATTGATATGAAATTTATAAAAGGAGTTGAATCCTATTATATGCCACTTGCTGCTTGCCAAAAAGACACGAGTTTTAAATGATGCATTATAACTTAACTTTCGCACGACTCCAAGATGACACAGATATGAAGTTAATAGGTATAACATCACAGTATGGCAAACGATACGTTGCTAATACAAATGACCGTTATTTTATACACCGGCATATAAGCTTATAAATATTTAGCATTTTTCGTTGCAACAAAGTTTTGAAGCACCCAAGACAAAACCATCTTTTGGTAATTGAAACAAACAAACAAACAAACAAACAAAGAACAACAACAAATCCAGAACAAAACATCAATAGCAGCAACAACAAAAACTATCTGAAAACAATTAAGGATAGCATTGATCCAATTTCAATGTAGGAACGGCTGCCTTTGTAATGCATTCATCCAACTTCCTCTTATGACTATATCGCGTTAGTGACAAGAAGGAATGTTCAAAGCTCGCCATGGGTGACACATATACAGATGTATGCATATGTCTATGCAAAATATATAAAAGGTGTTTTCATGAATGAGTATTGTCGGTTGCTACTGAATCATACTTTCTTGAGGGCACAC